TATCAAAGGACCTGAGGAAAAAAGGAGCCAAGGTAGGTTTCATCCATCTTCACAAAACTTCCAAACAAAGCAGAGAAGGCCGTGGTAAAGGATAGCTTGGCACCACCACAATAATGCAAACATTATGGTACTATGGACTACACCAATCTAATTCAGAATTTTCAAAAGTCGTTCACCTAATCCAAGGTCGAAACTTGACTGTCTGGCTCACCTGAGCAAAGCTGTGGAGAAAATAGAATGTACATTATATAAGTCAGATCCTGCACATGTGAACAAAAATGATGTAACAATTTGTTTGCCTTTAATGAATTGTGATTGTAGTTTTCGTTTTACAGAAATTTTACTTTTACAAGTAAAGAAAGAGAAGCTAAACAAAGAAAACTTTTGTATTTTACCTGATACAGGTTTCCTTATACTTGGCCAAGCCAAATTGATTTAATGATGAATATATGCAAATGCAGACTTGGGCCCATTGTCTTATCTCAATTTTGACAGTCTTGAAAGCTCAAAGGAGAGTACTTCAAAGACAGCTCCATAAAAGAACCAATACACTCATACCCATGATTGTTTCAAATTTGTTGAGGAAAACTGAATTATTTTGTCATTCGATTATGTCTGTAAAGAGTGGAGAGACAAACCCAGACTGTAAAACAAAATGATGCAGTAGAGCAACCTTTAAAAGAGGTGAGATATATATGTTGAAAGTCTCGCCTTGTACGCGCTCCTTTGAAGCTGATCCTTTCTCCTTTCAGGTACACATATACATAATCAAAGATCCTCACCACATAAATAAATAAATCTGAAAAACAAGATAACGTGAAAATTGGAGTAAGCATGTATAAATCATGTAAGAGAATAAAATCCAAATTAATAGGAAAAAAGCAACAGTTGAGAACCGTAACAGAAATCAAACACATAATAATTTGAACGATGACAACATAAAATGAAAACTTGTTGGAAGACTTACATGTTAATCCTGATTGGGACTCATCTACGCTCCTTAGAATTTTTTTGTTTTTCTTGTTCTTGACTCATCGCTTAGAAGAAACTGCATGTCTGAAAAACAAAATTGAAGTTGAAGATAAGAAAGTGCTTGTACAATTTCTAGATTTGAGAAGCCAATCAAGACACAAAAAAGACCGAAAACTGATTAGCTTATACCATACTTGATTGTGCATTTCCAGTCGATAGCAATTAAATGCCTTCTAAACCAGTACACCAATCATAGGAAAGCAAAGACCAGCAAAGCTAGCTCACTAACCATACACTCTTTGATTATGCATTGCCAGTCGATAGCAACTGAATGCTGTCCAAACCATTGCAATAATCATTGGAGCATAGGCAGCGAGAGGATTTTCAGAGTACCACAGCCAAAGGCATGCGGAAGACTCCAGTCTCGCTCTCAGTGAGAGACAGTGTGCGCTCCATGTCAAGTGTGCATTCCCAGTCGATGGCAAATTAATGCCCTCAAAACCATTACAACAATCAACATCAGAACACATAGCAGAAAAGAAGATTGAAACACTATCTTATAGAACACACTACAGTGGTACAGACATGATCAGCTAACAACCTTTGCATTCACAATTATCAAAACTGTTCTGTTCACAATACCTTCCCTGCATACTGATAATACTCATCTTTGATATTTCTTGAAGTTTACACCAATAAAAATGTAGAGTTGGAGATACTGCTTTCACACCAAGTAAAAGAGAATTTTGAAGCCAAACTGCAAAAAAATATTAGAAATAAATGAAGGTGGTAGTATCTTTGAGAGGAGACAATAACACACAAACTAAAAAGCACTTTGTGGTTGATTTAAATCAGAGGGAAACCACAGGGCCATTAATGCATTGATACTCACATCACATTCTTCACAGCTGCACTTGAACGTGATGCCATTCCCATATGCCTTGATGCAGAAGTCGAGATATATGGAATATTATTAATATTATTATTTATTGTAATGTATTTACAAAGTACAGAACATTTCCTGGTGATGAATTTTACTGCACTTAATGATGCAGGTTGAATAATCTTCCGCTGCCATATTACACTTGAACACCTAGAAAAGAAACAGAGGCTTACATACACATGCCAGCATCAGCACTCCAACATTTCACATATTTAAAGTGATACAGAATGCTATACTCAATCACGCACACAAGAAATTTACCTTACCTCATTTGCAACCATCTTTACCAACACTTGCATTCATGGTTCCTGTCTGAACATATTCATGGTCATATTTTCACAATCTTGCAAGTCTAACAAGACAAAATTTGAGTGTATCGTCTCCTTGAATCCGAGTTGAAATAAAATAAGTGCACTGTCAAAGAAAGTAGAGAGAGCAAAAGTTATTTGCTGGAGAAGAAAATAACAATCAAAGCAACGATACTGTTTTTAAAATGTGGAAGACTTAAACAGTAGACAACTTCTTGCCAAATAGTAGTACACATAAATGGGGTAGGGCCTCATCAAAACAGAAAACGAATAATAAAAGTCAACATGAATATCTTTTTCTGGACAAAGACTCAGTATTTCAATGAACTAACCAAACTTGCGATGGAGCATGTGATGAAATATCACATATATTGGTGATTGAATGTGACATATGTTGTTGATGACAACATTTACTAACCTGTAATTAGTTTAATGAGGCTGCTCTCGGCTTGCGTGTTGAGGCTGACAAGAGAAATCCACAGAAGCAGGAATTCAGGTGGCTTCGAGTTTGGCAACTTGAATGTGGCCGGATACTTCACAGCGACGAGGTTATAGTAGCCTTGGCGACGTAACATATTAATAGTTATGCGTGGTGCCAAACTGTAATAAATTATCAAATTATTAAACAGAAACTACTACACTGAAGAATTGTTCACAACGGCACAACTTTACGTCGAACAGTTAACCAAAGAGTAAAAAAAGAAACCCTGATAACCTCTGATCTGGTCGGTCGGCACTGCAGTAGCTTTCAAACTATCATGTTAGCAGTTAACTAAATTGAATTGAAGAACATTACTATCGTAATTACACACTGAAAATTACTCTCACCCACCAAGTTATGTATATTTCACCAAAATAAAGTTAAAATAATTTTCCAGGCAAAGAACAAGGAGCTGACACAGCATGGACGAACAACAACATTCAACTTGAAAGGGGGGAGGAGGGACAG